GGGAACATGGCAAAGGAAAACAACAGCAAAAGAAATAACTGTACAGAAACAAGTGTAAATAAAATGCATGCAATGCAACAAACAAGCAGAAGGAGCCAAGCTCAACTTCTAGAGCAAGCAAGCCCAAAGGCAACACACAAAGCACAGGCAAGGGAGACAGACTCAACCTTAAGCCAGCAAGCAAAGCCAGATAATAACAGTCAAGCAGAGGGAGACAAACTCAGCCTCTAAATGCAGACAAGCAAAGGGAGCTATTCTCAACCTCTAGGATGCTCTTAAGCCTAGATAACTATATGAGAACCTAGTCTAATGCAACACACAGTCAATCAGTCACACAAGCAAAGCAGAGCAGTCAGAAAAACAGCAGACAAAAATAGCAGACAAACAGCTCAACAGCAAAGCAGATAAACAGCAAACAATCAAACAGCTGCAAGCAAACTACTCCAAACCACCTTCAAGAGAAGTCTTCATCTTCATGCTCCAGAAAGAGAAGAGAGTAAACATCAATAATATTGGATTTATGATGGGAAGTAGGAAGGAAACCAAAGGAATCCAACCTGACACTCAACCAGTCACCAGAGACAGGCATCCTCAAAGGTTCTACCTCTTGTGAAATTCCACACATCCTTCCAAAGGAAAGATGAGGCTTTCACATAGGGACCTTGAATCATTGGATGAGAATGGAAAGCAATCAAAGCAATCCATGTTTATTTGAATAAAGAGAAAACAACTAAGCTCTTCCTAAACCCTAATTGAACAAGCTCAAAGAAAGCCTCTAAAGGGAGGTCTAAACACCAAATCAAACACCACCATCAAGAAAACAGAAGTTCATACATGTCTAAAACACCATCAAAGAAGATTAGCAAACCTATTATGCACTAAAGGCCACCAATGGAGTTAATCTAAAGCAAGTGCTATGTTGAAAGCAACTTAAAACTAGCCTAAGTATTAAATATATGAAAAATCCTAAATCACCTTCTAAAATCCTAAGAAATTTTCTAAGGGAACCTAAACATGTTAAAGACCTATAGTAGAAAGGTTAGGGATCAAATCAAAAGGGAAGGTCACCTAAAAAAAACCTAGAACACAAGGTATCAAATGAACACTCTAAAATGGAAGGTCTAAAGATCCTAATCCAAAATAGAACTTAATGTTGTCTAAAAAATCTAAATTAAATTATAGGGGATCATGCATCTCTAATCTACCAGCTAGCAAAAAATCAGCCCCAAATTCTATACCAATTGCAAGAACAAAAATCAGCAAAAAGATGAAGAAAATATGCAAAATTAAAGAAATAGCAAAAAATGGAAAATGCTCAATAAATGGAAAAATAAGCAAAAATGAAATATTAAAGCATCATAAAATCAAAAATAAAATCAGGAGCATGGACATATTTTTATTTTATTTTTCTGACCAATAATGGAATTTCTATGAATTTAAAATGAAATAAGCAATTAAAATAAAAGAAAATAAAATGCTGAATTAAATGAGGCGCGTTGGATCAAGTGACTAGTCAAAGCATCTGAAGGCTCTAGTGTTGCTAGCACATAAATGAAACTACATCGTTTTGGTTCAGTCAGAGGCAAATTCAAATTAAAACGTGATCATTGGATCTGAAGACAAAGTCAAGTTTTCCACCTCATCCAATGGCTCACACTTTGTCTTCCTCGTTTGAATGCTGAAAGGGAGGGAAGCTAGCAGCGGTGGCCGGAGATGACTTCCGGTCATCTTCTCCGGCGGTCCCAAAGTTACAGGTCATGGAAACTTAAAAAATTTTACACAGTCTCACTCCAAATTCCATGTAGAGTCCAAATATCATGTTCATTTTCCCTGATTCCTTCTAGATCTTAAAACACGAACTCAAACAGAAAATATGTCAAGTTCTCAAGCATCACCAATCCTTAATTTAAAACCATAGATCTCCTCTTTATGCTTCACTGATCATCCTAAACCATCTAGATCGTGTTGAATCCTCATAATCAAGCCAATCCAACTCCAAACAGAAATCACACATCAACCTAATTTGTCTCTAAACTCTCAATTTATGATCCAAAATCCATCTAAGCAACTTCCTAAAGCCTAACCGCATGCTAACAGATGCTAAATCAACATGAATCCTCAGCAATTTTGAAAACTACATACCTGTGTTAGAGCTTCAAATTGGAGCAGTTGGAACACGATTCTCAGCCTCAAACTGTGCAGATCCACTCTATACTTGGATGCTGAAGGTGTTTGTAGCTTTGAATTGCCTTGAATTGGTCTGGATCAAAAATCACAATTTTCACTTCTCCTATTGAAACTCCAACTTCAATCTCTGGCTATGGCACGAAATGATCTCCAAACTTGCTTTGAATCAATCATAGAACTTATATAGAAGTGATTGGTGGGCTTTAGAAGTCCAATTAAGGCCCAAATCAGAATATCCAATTTTCAAATTTCCTCCAAAACTTCAACAATGTTATCCACGAATTTGCACTCAAATCTTCTCTTAGAAGCTTCAATTCTATTCCTTGTGGTCTGTGGAAAGTGTAGAGAGTGATTAGAGAGCTCAAACTCCTCTCATGACCAAGTTATGATATGTTACTTATTTGTGAAGTAACAAGTCAAACCACCATGAATTAGATCTCAAATGAAAAATATAATAATTCCAAAGTGTTTAGAATGATTTTTCTGATTAAAATGAGTACTCACTTGGCCTTGTATGAACACAAATGAATTAATCTTGAATTTTTCACTTAAATGCCTTTAAATTCTTCTTTTTGCCAAATTTCTCAAACCAAGTCTCACCCTAAGCCAAATCAATTCATCATGAGGACATGGTCGACCTAAAAACATCATTTTGAGCAAGTTTTGTGTTGAACAAAATCTCATTTGAAGCTTGCAAGATAGTGAAAATGACATATAATCTCACTTTCCCAAAATACCCCTAACTTGTAAACCTCATAACTTGAGTTCTACAAATCAGATGGAAGATTTCTAGTACAATTTGGAAAGCTAAGATCAAGACCTACAACTTTCAGGTTGTCCAAAAGTTTAGGAGAAACACCCTTCTAGGTCAAAATTTCCATGGAAGTTGGTGAACTTTCACAGACAAATTTCACATTCCTCAGATGACCTGTAACTTGTCTAGGTCATAACTTGAGTTCTATAAATCCAATGGAGGACTTCTAGTACTCAAATTAAATCTAAGAACATGCTATACAAGTTTCATGTTGGCCAAAAGTGGAGATGAAACTTATATCTTGAGATACGTGGTCTTGAAGTTAGGCACTAAATAGGGGATTTTACCCTGAGAACCCTAATTTAGCAACTCCTCACACTTAGAACTTTTCTTGAATTGATCTTGGAATATCATCTCATGTATCTCAACACACCTATTCATGATTTCAAAGACTTAGAAATGAGCTTTGATCCTCTTCACTTGCACAGTTGACTTAGGGTTACTCAGATGAAAACCCTAATTGCAACACCCTCAACTGTGGCTCTTCACACTTGGCATAATGACTTGATTGAGCTCCACCATGACCCTCAAGGCACTCTATGAGCTATATCCATACACTCTCTCCTTGATCAAGGCTCCACAACCCAGTGATGGTCTTCAATTGGTCCTCAGCTTAGGAGATTAACCCCATACAAACAACTGAACTTCTCAAGGACTTTGGTGACTTCTCAAGCTTGAATAAGACCTCTAGATAGACTCCTCTATCCACACTTAATCCCCTGCACAAATAAACAATGCTATGCTATGCAAATGCCAGATCAATGATATGCTAATGCAATGCAACAAAAGCCAAGTAAGAAAAGGTTAGGAAATTTTTTGGGTGCAACACATAGTAAGAAGATGTAAAATAAAAAATATGATGTAAGAGAATTAGAAAAGTGTGAAATTTGGGAAGTGGGAAGATGTGTATTTAGTACTTAGTGCATATATTAAATTATGAGGTGGAAAGTGGAAAAATCTATTAGAAATTTGAAATAATCTAAATATACCAATAAATTAAATAAATAAATAGAACCACATGTGCATTCATAATATTAGGACGAGTTGGATAACCCGATGATCAACCCGAAACCGTCCTACCTAATATCGGGTTCATTTTTGGACAGTCCTTTTTTTCTATTTTTTTGCATGAGACATGAAGAAGACTAACCTGAAACTATTGGGTTAAGACGGGTCTTCGGGTTGGGTTGAGTTCTGCACACCCCTAACTTTAGATCAAAATCAAATCATTAATTTTAAATGAATCCAACGTCTAATATTTTTATTCAGATATCAACTGAGTTGATTTAACAGTACAAGAGTCTAACATATTAAAAGTGTTATCTATGTAATTACAATAAATATATTATTAATTCAATTATACAAAAAATAAAAATATAATGTCCTTTTTATTTTTTAAGTTTGTCCATCAAAGGAAAAATCTCTAGCCAATTAAATATCCTATTAACATTTTTTATTCTATTCAATTGACGTTCTTTTTAATTTAATTATTTATATTTTAATTTCATCTTGTCCCTTTGCAAAGTTTGAGTTCTTCCTTTTCCTTTAACCTAACTAATTTGCAACGGCATCGGAAATTCAAGCGCGCCACCACGGTAATTCAGGCAGGCCGCCGGTTGGTATTACGATTTTCCATTTCTTCTTCGCCGTTCATCCGCCTTCTACTGCAACCTTCTCTATCCATAATTTTATATTATCAAAATATCTTCATTGGAGCGGACGCGAAACTCCGCGTCGGCGGTTACACGCGCCGTGTTGTTCTCGGGAAATGCACCCGAGGCAGCCGCGACAGTGATGCCACTGTAGCGGCCAGCGGCCACTCCCCTCCGTTCCTCACCGCAATTAACTATTTTGAAATTTCTTTGTATACTGTCTTGCTAGTATTGGCTCACAATTCAATGTTGAAGTTTTGCAATTAGTTGTTTGTTTTGCTGAAAGTGTGCAGCAGCGTCTAATTTACAAGAAAATCGGCTGAATTTGTGTAGGTTTTATCAGAGATATGGGTGAAATTTGGTGGTCAATTTTGGGGGCAGCGATCCCCGTAGTTATTGCAGGACAAGCTTTTAGAGTGAAGAAAAAGAATGCGGAAGAGGAGAAGTTGAAGAGTGCAAGAGGAAGAGAAAGGAGTTCTGATGAAATTTTTGTCTGTGAAAGGGTCTGCACTTCAAAGAGGATGTTGAAAAAGGTTGGCTCATTCTCAAAAGATCCCATTCCGGATACTTGTGTTACTGTTTGTGGTGTGTCCGATCTAGACGCATGTGCCGATGCTTGTGCTCGCACCGTTTGTGTTAACCAACATCAAGTTCCGAATTGGAATGACATTTGCCTTAGGAGATGCCAGACTGAATGTCTTAAACTTTCTTCTCAGTCTTCTTAGCAGGTTAGTTGCATTTAAGCAATGAAATATTGTACTTATGTATTGAGTTTTGTTATAGTTGTCAATGATTCGGCTCGTCGTGCCAACTCCTGAATCCAAATTTGTTATAAATTCTATTGAAATGCAAATTGGGTTTTAAGCAATAGTTTCTAATTCATTTTATTTACTGACTTGAGTAATAAATGCTTCTTTTTGTTTCTTGAATATGGCCTTGTTGGTGTATCAATATAGCACACAAAAAACATTAGACTTGTAATGCAAAAATTGACATATATAAATATAACCTACATGTATCTTATATTTCAAATACACATGAATCTCAATATATCAACAACAAAAAATTACACATGGATCTCTGAATTTGATAGACCTGCAGTATCCTTTTATAATGTTTCTATCTTATATCTATAGACCTGTAATAGACTATCTTGAACAGAAAAAGAGAAAGCAATAAAATAATTAAGGGTATGTGTTTATTTTTGTGTTTGGGCAAGAATTTGAATGAAGAAATAGACATAAATCAATGACCAGGGCCTTTAGGACTTGGTCCAGAAGGCAAACGCTGAAGCCAAATTGACATTGTGTTCTTGGCTTGTTCATAAGCTGATGAGGTTTGTGTTTGGAGGTTATTAGCTTTTGCAAATGAAAACTCTTGTGAATTCCTTAAAACCCTGCTTGCCTCCACTTTACTCTGACTTTCACTCATCAAAATAACCAAACAGATCATAACAATTGTGATCAAATTCAAAAGGGTACATGCCTTTACATAACTCATTTTTTGAAACTTTTAGTAGGACTAGGGAGTTTAGAAAATGAGTAGTTGTTTGCTATGGAAGGTTGTTGTTACGTTGTTTGTGACTTTGGTGGTGGAGTAAGGGAGCAGGGTTTGGTGTTTATTTATAGTGTGACAAAGATAACATGATGTGTTAAATTTGTGCTTGTCTTTTTGGACTTAACCTGCCCTTTTTTTTGTGGACATTGGTTTGAACTTGAAGCAATTACGTGCTGACCAAGGACTTGGGAAGCTGCCATGCAGCTTCAAATAATCATATTTTTGTTTACTTTTTATTTTTAATCCAAGCTTTAAAACACTTGGTCGAACTGGTCTGTTCAACTGATGGAATCGAGTTTGTTTGATATATTAGAGTTCGATTAATCAGATTGAACTAAATTCAAACTGTTGTTGGTTCAAATGATTTTCATTATTTTCATTTTATTTATTGAACTAATTAAAATATGATACCATCGGGTTCAATTTTTATCTAATTTATCAACTGAGTTGGTTTAGCGAGACATTTTTTATTTATTTATGTTTAAGTAAAAAATGATATAAAATATGATGCACATTTACGTGGTAAAGAGATCAACACATGGTTTCCATGTTTGAAAAAGTCAAAGGTTGCTAAATTAAGTTGAATATGTTGATATTACGAAAGAGTCCATATTTTGGAGGGTAGTTTTGGCTAAATAATGTTGTAATCGTGCAGATTGAAGAATGTTTGATTTTATGTAGTACTAGTAGTATATATTTTAGTCGTGTTTCTAAGTCAGCAAAAAAAAAAGTCAGAAAAATTGTGTTGACTAAATACTCTCTTTTCATATCTAACTCTCTTTGAGAAAGTGAAAAAGATAGGTTACCTAACCTAAAAACTAGAGTAATGGCAATTTATTTAATACTCAAGATTTCTGTAAATTCTATTATGAAATTAATTACGAATACTTGTAGCTACACCTAACGCATTTGTAATTTAGTATGGGGAATTCAATAACAACTACGACTTTGATTTGAATTTTTGAACTTTTCTTCCTTGTTTTAAATTAGAAGACCCGTGAGTCTGCCGTATAAAAAAAATTATAAAATATAATATTAGATATAAAATTTTATTCAAATTCACATTAAAAATAATATTTATTTATATTTTTTGTTTGGATTTAATTGATTGTATCTATGTTATTTTATGAATATTTCAAAACATTATAGTAAAAATATTAAAATACATAATATATTAATAATAAAGATTTTAGACTTTTTACTTTTTAAAATAATATTTATACATACTTTTTTGTTTAAATCTAATTAGTTGTGTTACATGTATAATAGTGAAAAAAAATAAAATTTAATTGATTGTATTTTGTGTCGTATCATTAAAAATACTTTTAAGATAAGATATTATATAAAAATTATATAAAAAATAGAAATTGCAATGAAATATTATTAAAAAAATAGAATATATCAAGTATTTTCTAACTGATACTAAATCATAATATAGATGTACAAGTCTATGTAAAACGTTTTCGAATTTCAATTCAACCTATAACTAAAGTAATCATCCTAGTAAATTGTAACTTGCTTTTATTAAAAGTTACAGTAGAAGAACATTAACCGATGAGTCAGCATGGTATCATTGGACATGAATAAATTCAATTGAGTATGGGCATGACAACACTAAACATAAACTAACTAAACACTTAACCAACACTACCTGATATTAAATCTATTGCTTCGATTTTTTTTAAATAAGCCAAATTTAATTAATATAAAAAAATATAAGTAGTGCTACTTCCCGTACATCAGGAAACAAAACGATAGCAAAATTATGTAAACGCAAGTAGTGCTACCATTACATAAAGAAGAGAAGCACATTAAACACTTCTAATATTGTGAAACATTTAGGATTTAAAACACACCACACCAATGCTGCAGTACCCAGTTGCGAGAAGCACATTAAACACCGTGTTGAACCAATCACCTTAAATAACAACTAAAACACTTGGAACACAACTGGAGATTATAAGCACCACTTCAAAACACCACCACAGATTTACGACTTATTGATTAACACCGCTACAATATCTCCATTTTAACTGGACTATGATACTCCTCCTACATCAAATATGAGATAAAATGCTTAACAAAACAATTGCAACACATAATAGACGATATGCAGATAGTTTTGGAAACACATCCCATGTGAAACTATAACTCATGCACCATTGAAATGAAAAATAAAGCTTGCATCATAAGGAAGAAGAAGGATTGGTATATTTTACAAGAGAATTGTATCATTACAAGGCATCAAGTATATATAGTGATTCAGGGTTAGTTACATCATAACTAACTCTTATAACCAACTAAAAATACTTAACTAACTAATGATTACAGTAGTAACTTGCACACTAAGAAAGCTCACTATGTGCATTATTCATCATTCTTAACACCCTCAAGCTGGAATAGATGTTGATCATTCTTAGCTTGCTTTGAAGGTTGCTAAATGATCCTACATGCAAAGACTTTGTCAAGATGTCAGCTACTTGATCCTTGGAAGTAATGAGAAACAAATGAATAATTCCCGCCTGCACTTTGTCTCTCACCACATGGAAATCAATCTCTATATGCTTAGTTCTCTCATGGAACATAGGATTAGCTATTATATGAAGGGCTGACTTACTGTCACAATAGATCACAATTGAAGTTGAATGTTTAATATGAAAATATTGCAGTAGATACAAAATTCATTGCCCTTCACATATGGCTTGTGCCAATGCTCGATATTCAGCTTCAAACGATGATCTGGACACCATTGTCCGCTTATTACTTTTCCTACTTATCAAAGAGTTACCAAGAAAGAAGCAAAAACCGGTTGTTGACTTTCTAGTATCAGGGCATGCTCCCCAATCAGATTCTGAGAAGCCTTTAAGTGTAAGAGCTAATGATGAGCTAAAGAATAGACCATTACCAGAACTTCCTTTGAGGTACTTCAGGACATGAATGCCAGCTAACATATGCTCAATTAGAAGCACTTAGAAATTGACTAAGTTTGCTTACAACATATGATATTTTAGGCCTAGAATGTGTGAGATACAAAAGTCTCCCTGTCAATCTTCTATGCTCAATAGGATCAAAAAGAATTTCACCAGATCCTTTGTGCAACTGCAGACGAGGTTGTATAGGAGTATTGCTAGGTTTTACTCTAGTTAGGCCTACATCTTGCAATAGGTCCAATGTGTATTTTCTTTGACAAAGAGTGATTCCTTCTTTGGAACTGCTTACTTCAAAGCCAAGAAAATATTTAAGCACTCCTAGATCCTTGGTGCTGAATTTGTTATGTAAGAGGGTCTTAATGTTAGTGATTTCATTAACATCAGTCCTTCCTAAGACCAAATCATCGACATAGACAAGGATGACTGTAAACTGGACGCCATTGGACTTAGTATACAAGGAGTAGTCTGATTTAGATTGGGTGTAGCCTGACTATAATAGAGTTTCAGTAAGTTTAGTATTTCATTGTCTGCTTGCGTGTTTCAGACCATACAGGGACTTTTGAAGCTTGCAAACCAAATTGGATTGAGGCAAGGAAAGGCCAGGAAGAGGCTGCATATAGACTTCTTCATGAAGGTCACTAATCGGTCACCTATTCTACTTAGTTTCCGTCAGTTATTCGGCAGGAATTTCGTTTAATCGGTAACACTTTGGTTTATTTTTTTTCCCGCTTTCCTTTAAGTATTTAAGTTTTCGCATTTTATTTGCTTGCATTGCTTTAGTTTAAGTTTATGATAAATAAAATACTTTTGAAGTCTTGGTCTAGTAGTTTTGGTGTTTTCAGGTTCATGTGAATGTTCCGAGGAATGGGTGCGAATTTGGCTAAGTTTGAAAATATTTTTCTCAAATTCAGAGGCCTGACACGGGTGCCCGTGTCACCTGACACGACCTGTATCAGGATGGGAAGAGGAGAGCAGCTGAATTGAGAAACAAGTGGGCTGACACGGGTGCCCGTGTCATCATGTTTGAAGCTGAAAACTTAATTAACAAAGGCAAGAGGCCAACACGGGTGCTTGTGTCACCTGACACGGCCCGTGTTGGCAGGCTCGAACATATTTTTGATTATTTTTGAAGTATTGCCTGTGTTAGTTCATTAAGGGTATTTTGGACATTGTGCATGGGAATGAATGATCTGATACTATTAAGACCTGATTTTTGAAAGGAAATAGGGACTTTTGGA